GCTGGCAAATGTACACTTGCCTTTTCGAGAACATCAAAGCGTACAGTCACTGGGCGACGGGTAAATGGTGGACAACAACAGGCTGTCACTAAGGAATATTAAAAATTTTCTGAGCTTTAGAAACCATGTTGACACAGCGGAGCCCCAAAAATGAATAAGATACACTGTGATTTCTTTAAATGTGAGCATACATGAATATAAATGATAATTGTGGTCATTAATTTGGGTTTTCTTAAGCCTAAATTCCTCGTTACACCTTTACTATTCTTTGACATATTTATTGTGTGTTATTTAATTCATTTTGTTCTGTTCTTCAAGGCCCTTTTCAGATTTTATTGGCCAACTGTATATCATAATACCATGACATACTATTATACCATTATACCAAGAGATCCATGGAACCAGCTAATCTGACTGCAGTGCATAGTTACAGTGAAAGTGCGGCACACTTTATCCTCAGTAGAGAAACAAAATAGTAAAAGAGTAAATTAAATGAGTAAATAATGTTTCCATTAAGCTTCATCTGTATAATGGTAGATTAAAGGCAGCTATAAAGACCTAAATGGTCTGCAGCAATAAAGACCTAAATAGGACCATTAAAGGCAATGCAAATAAAAGGCCTCTACTCCTCGGCCTAAGCATTTGATCATGTGGACCTTGCGGTAGGGGCAGATCTGGTTCGGGAAATGGTGTGAACCTGTACAGTTCCAGCGCATTCCAGACCAGACAAAATGAGACATGCAGTATTTTTCTGGCCTGGTCTGGAACGGACTGCGCTACAATACGAGTGGCAACGCGGCAGCCAGAGGATCGGCTACTATTGCGTTGCCTCTACAGAAACGGGGGGCATGGAAATGTCAGGATTAACCAGGTATTTACAAAAAGTGGGGGAAAAAACAGGACAGAAAGCTTCGGCACACAAGTAGGGGACATACTGGACATAACGATCATTAATAAGCACTATAAATCAGCATAAGTGAGATTTAATGACACTTTAAGGGGGTTGCAGGGCAATGGAAAATCTTTTTTTGACTGTGTCCACTTTAACGCCCTTCTTCACCATCTTTCTTTTCTTTGTAACCGTATCACCCAGCTAGTGCACCCCTAAAATGCTCTAAGCTAATCTTCAAAGGTCACTGAATGTGTGTGCACACCTATCAGTTACTGAAGCATTACAAGACTATAGACCAAATGGAAAAGGCTGCCTGAGTCTGTAGAAATACTAAATTGTACGTTCTCATGAACAGGACCCTCCTAACCCTCCTGTATTGAAATTGTATTGTAACTGTACTGTCTTCCTCCATTCTACCTAGCGCTGTGCAAACTGTTGGCGCTATATAAATCCTGAATAATAATAATCATATAAAAAATATAGGGCTTGTATACAGAAAATTCATCATAAAGGAGGTTTCTTCTCTTTGCTTCTCTCTTGCTTTATACTGGGCAAAAAAACATTTGCAATGTATTCCCGACACTAGATGGAGCCGTAGAGCAAAAGATTTCCTATGCTCCTCGGGTTCATCTAGTGGCCTAAATGGCATTTGCCCAGTGAATGGCTTGTCAAGAGATTTATAAATCTGCTCCATTAGTGTATCCAACACACTTTGGTGTATGTTAACAGGGGTGTCCCTACCCTTTTCGCTGCCTGTAGGGGTGGTGGTGGTGCACGTTAACGGGGGGGTTCAGGGGTTGTGGTGTGGTCTCGGGCTCCAGCTCTGTCCGGTGTCTTGCCAGGCTCACTGACGTCACTGGTTGGCAGGAGTTGGGCAGGACACCAGCCATAGCATCCTTCTCAGCTGCTGGCCAACCAGTGACGTCAGTGAGCTAGGCAGAATGCCGGCTAGAGTGTTACAGGTAACTAAGAGCTCTGGCCAGAAAGAGGATGGCAGGTGTGCCTCCACATGAACCAGTGAGATGCCTCTGGCGGTGACTGCTTCAGGCTGCCTTATTATAGGGATGGCCCAGTATGTGACAGTCACACTCACAGCTGATAAGTTCCGCATATAAGGCAACTATGCACTGTCAATGGCCACAATTGCGGCACATGCCAGCATCTTGTAGGTCTTATAGGCAAGGTAAGATACAATAGATATCCCACTAGCACTGTGTAGCCATTTCTGGCAGCGTTTCAGCAGGTGTGTTTACAGAAGAATATAAAGTAAGCCCCTGTGTCAGGGGTGGCAAACACAAGGCCCGCGGGCCGAATCCGGCCCATGTTATCCTTTGTTACAAATCAAGCTAAACACAGGTTGATGTTTCTACAGTATATGGAACAACAGATGGTGTGTGAGGTGCATCTGGTCTTGGGATTGGATTACATTGTTCCAGGTGGTGCTGTAGAGAGGCAAACTACATAATCACATTTGTTACAGCAACAAAGCTGTTTCTGCAATAACAAGGAATGGACGGTGATGTATCTCCTGGGATTCAATTCGTTACAGTCAGCAGCCACTTGTGAAACTTGTAAATATGGCCACAAAAGCCTATCGCGCCTAGACAGTGTGGTATTCCCAGCTAGACTGTGTTAACCACTTAAGGCATATGTAAACTCAATCAGTAAATCAGTTTTAATGTGCCAAAAGGGGAGCTGTGGTGTATTTTCAAATACGTTTTCATGTGACCGAGGTATTGAAACAAGACAGAAATTTGAAGAGATACAGAACACAAGCAACGTGTACTAATACCAAGCAAGAAGAACTGTCTGCATATGTAAAAGTTAAACAGGCCTGTGTAGAGGAGTGTTGGGGCTTCCACTTACATTTAAGTATGGCAGGGCGACAAGGGGAGCTCTCTGCAGAGCTGGAGAGACTTTGAATCTTGATTGGGCAAACTAACATAGAAGGGCTTGATGTGGAGGCTATTTAACAAATCCTCCACAAGAGAGGGGCACATGCAGGGGTGTCAGGACAATTTTCACTTCCTAAGGCAGAGGGAGGAGGATGGGTGTGGTGTGGGCGGTGCATGTTACGGAGGGGTGTCGGGGGAGAAGGTTGCATGGTACCTCTGTTTGGCATCCCACCCAGCTCACTAAGGTCACTGGTTGCCAGGAGTTGGGCAGAACGTCAGCCAGGGTGTCCCACTCAGCTCCTGGCAACAGAGCATCACAGGTTGCTAAGAGCTCTTACCCAAAGAGACACTGCCTAAAGCAACCACCTCAAGCTCCCTCATTATAAGTACGGCCCTTGGACATGGACGCTTAGTGAGCAGAATAAACCTGGGTGGCAGGGTGCAGACAGGTCTTGGAGCATCTGCATTCTACACAAAGTCAGTGCAGTTACTCTCACTAGATCAGTGAAGAAATCTAATAATAGCACACAGAGTCTGCAACTGGCCAGAAAGGCCCGGATATAGGACAATGGCATAGGCGTCACATGACAGGGTTGAAGGGGTGCGTGACTTGAGGATAAGGGAGTAGAACATAGAAAATATCTTACTTGATTTGTGAATGGGGTCTCAGGTAGGAGGGGTCTTCTGTGCCTGGGAGGAGCAGGGCGGGGGCATTCTCAGACTGACCAGCGTCCGAAAAGTTTCCAGACAGTAGCGGTGGGTCCCCTCTGAATAACCCTTGTCATGTTTGTTATCCAACAGCTAGTCAGTGAAGACATGGAGCAAAAAGGCAGACAGAGGAGAGATCCGTACTTGGAGGACAAGGGCAATTGTTAGAAAAGAAGGTGGGAACATACATAGTGGGGAGGGGTGGCATCCAATCTAGAGCTGCAGCTAACGATTATTTTCAAAATCGATTAGTTAGCCGATTATTAAGTTCGATTAATCGGTTAATCGGATAAACAATAAAATACATTTTAAAAAATGGCTCCAGTGATGGACTACTAGTTTGTATTGAGATTGTAGTCCATCACAGGAGCAAGCTTGGAGCGGACAGTGCGTGAATTAACATCTTCTCATTAATTGGGACATCTCACCACTGGAGTACCCAAAAGTTGTAAGAAGCCAGTACAAGAATGCATTTGAATATCAGTTTAAAGTGGAGATGACCTTGAATAACTAATAAGATAAAACCCTTTCCTTATATTTTAGGCTTTGCAGTCTAGAGCCTATGAGCTAAGCCAAGTAGCCTTAGTGATTAGCATAACAGGCAATATCATATGTCTTTATAAATATGCTGGAAGCTTTCCCAGACAGAGGATCAGTGGAATGCACAAATCTATAACAGAGAATAATAAAGTAACCCTTAACGAGGCTTCATTAAATAGAGTCAGGCCTATATATTAAGAATATGTGTTTTTTATAGATCCTTCGCACCTCATGCATAAAAAGTGTCCAGATGGGACTTCGATCAATTAACCTCTGGCACTTTGTCAGCATAACTTATAAAGTTAGAAGTTATCTGACTGGTTGCTTTGGACAAAAGTTGATAAAAAAAGATACATATTCTTCCAGGCCTCTAACAGTCAGGCACATCTAGAAGATATGAAAAGAGCTGAATGTAAATTCTTCTTGTTCCTTCTTCTTGTTCCTTTTTCCTGTTCCTTTTTCCTGTTCCTTTTTCTTGTTACTTCTTCTTCCTCCTTCTTCTTCCTTCTTTTTGTTTCTTCTTCCTTCTTCTTCTTCCTCCTTCTTCCGCGTTCCTTCTTCTTCCTCCTTCTTCTTCCTTCTTTTTGTTTCTTCTTCCTTCTTCTTCTTCCTCCTTCCTTCTTCTTCCGCTTTCCTTCTTCTTCTTCCCTTCTTCTTCCACCTTCCTTCTTCCGCCTTCCTTCTTCTTCCTCCCTTCTTCTTCCACCTTCCTTCTTCCACCTTCCTTCTTCTTCTTTCTATTCCCATGATGCACTGAGAGGTTTCCCTGTTATGCATGGTAAGCTGCCAGCTCCAATGAAGGAATCACACAAAGAACAAATTCCGGGTATCAGATGCAGGTCCCTATATTAGCGGTTCTATTCCAGTGAAAAGATAGTTGGCTGTATTTGTAGATTTCAGAACTTCAATAAACTATTAAACAGTATGCTCAGTTTCCATATGATAATGTCCTTCTCTTTTTACAGGCGTGGTAGTTATTGCGTTCGTTGTCTGCTGGCTTCCATATCACGTGAGGCGACTGATGTTTTGTTATGTCCCGGAGGAGCTTTGGACAGAGTGAGTAAAGCATTATGTCTACCCCAAGTATTATTTAGGCTGAACGCTAACTATAATCAAAAGTTACCCTTGCAGTAGGGCTTCCCCCACTCTTCAATGGTTAAATCGTGGTTTTGGTCTAAGGGGAACATAAGCAGCAGTTTTACTTACCTTATCCCTCACTCCCCCAGCAGCTGACACTGTTCTTTTCTCTACAACACTCTGGGTTGTGGGCAGGCCCTCTATGTCCTCATTCAAAATGTGGGACTGCTGGTCCTGCATTGTATGTGATGACATCAGAATGCCTATGACTGACGTAGCAGCTAAGAGAACTGGCTTCAAGAGCAGCAGTCGTGCAGCTTGGAGGAAGCCTATGGGAGCGAGGGCTAAGGTAAATAAAACTGCTTGTTATGTTACCCCTAGACAAAAACAAGCATTTAACCCTTGCCTTACCGCAAGAGTAACATTTGATCTTTCCTGGAGTTCAGCTTTAATCTTTATAATTACTATGATCACTTGTGTACTTATGTTGTCCCAAGAAGTACAGCTCTGTATCATGACTATATATAAATAATGGTATATGTAAAACCCAATAAAGTGAGGGACCCCTTTGCTGCACAATTTATACTGCATTGACCAAAAGATGTTGTTGCCTACTAGAGTCTTTGCTTACAGACTATAAGATAGAACACCCAGGGAAGTTATAGTATCATTCACAAGGACTGTTGCAATGATGAGCTGTGACATGCCAGACACATTTTCTGTAGGCTGCAGAGCATGGTATCTATATAAGGAAGCAATCTTCTGCTATAATGGTGTGCCATTTATTCGGTAAAGGGACTGCTTATGATCAGAGACAGGGCAGAGTGCTGAGAAACAGAGGAACCTGAACTTTGGAAGCTGTGCCACAAAAGGCAAGCAAAGAACAAATGACGATTAACCAGTATTGCCTGGGAGCTCCCTGCAGCTGATATTTGCCACATTACTTACGCTGTGATCCATATTTTGTCTCCATGTGGAGATGGCCATCCTAGTGAAGGAGCAGAGCTTTGCACACTCGTGTTAGAGCTGCAACCCTAAACACTAGTAAACTAATGGTGGGGAATATTAAAGAAGAGACGAAGAATGCACAGATGTCAAGATTGAATGAAACAGAAGCAGGGAGATCCTTGTGCTGCAGGTCCATGGATATAGCTTTCTCTCCAGCAATGAGAACAGTGAACAACACCGTAGTAACTTTACCAAATCTCACTCCAAATCTGATCAGACTATCAGTGAGAGGCAGCAGAGGGTTAGATGATCTGACACTGCAGATATACAGCTATGATGCTTTAGGACAGGTACCTAAGGTGTCACGATCTGGATCAGGCTCGGAGTCCAGTAGCTGAAACAGCAGTAAAAGTCGTAGTCAAACAGGCCGAGTTCGGTACACAAGCAGACGGTAGTAGTATAGGAGCAGGCAGAAGCGTAGCCAGAGATCAAGCCGAGGCCAGTAGCCAAAAGGTATCAGGTATGAAATGGAAGACGATGAGAGTAGTCGGTGAATCAGCAGCCAAAGGTCGGTACACGGGTAGCAGTATGAGCAGATTGTATCACAGGAGGAGCAAGGAAGCAAGATATTGGCAGGAGCACAATGATCTGGCAAACAGGAAGTGCAGAGGCATGGCTTCAATAGGAAGTTCAAGGGAAGAGCAAGGAGTTCAGAATTCAGCAGAAACTAGGTTTCGCTGAGGATTACACAGGAGAGCAGGCAAGGAGCTATCCAAGGTTCTAAGGTGGCTCAGCAGGTAGAACCACTGTGAGCTAAGGCATGGGGTACAGATCTGGTTCCGGACATAGGGATAGGAAGCACACTGCTTTTTTTAGGGGGAATACAAAAGAGAAGGTAAATTATTCAAGGTGCTGCTTATGCAGAGTTGACATGTCTACATGTTCCCTATGAGATAAATCTTTCTTTTTTCAGGTTCAGAGTTCAGGTTCACTTTAGGCTCCTTGGCCCTATTGCATATGTACTGAAGTTGCAATGTAACTTAATTTCCTTATGTTGGGATTTTGTAGTGAAGTCTGGGATTTTTACCTTTGAAATCATCAATGTCTTTCGCTTTGTGGATATTTTAAGTACTTCCCTTGATTCTTTGTTTTATTCTTCCACAGTGAACTCAATGACTTCTACCACTACTTCTACATGCTGACCAATGTCCTCTTCTATGTCAGCTCCACCGTTAACCCGATCCTTTATAATCTGGTGTCAGCAAACTTTCGGCAGATCTTTGTCTCCACCCTAAGTTTTTTATGCCCACCATGGAGAAGGAAGAAAAAGCACCCGGGTTTTAGCAGGAAGTCCAACAGCATCTCCAGCACCAACCACACATTTTCCACCCAAATCACCAGGGAGACTCCATACTGAAAACAAAGGAAATGTGTTATCCAGCACTTCCAAGACTTGTCTGTGTGTGTTTTCCAACATGAGTTTCATAAAGGCCTCCTTCTTTCATTCTTATCGTTCTCTGGCCCGTACTTGCCAGAATATGGTCTCCAAACATTAACACAACGAGAAGATAATTCTGTATATTTGAAAATATATTTTCACAAAACTGTATTCTTCGTGAGTTCTTGAGAGGCAGAGAGTCCACCTGGTGTTTTGGAAGTCCACCTGCTGATGTCCATATATTGAAAACCTATCATTGCAATGGTGGACTGACCATGGACAGTATTTCTGAACAGAGATCTTTAGTAGACAAGCATTGCACTGGTTCTTTCAGAGAAGGATGTTATAACTTGATGACTTTATTCTTATTATTTATTGTTGTTTTCTATGAATTTGGGAACATTGTAAAGGTGGTGGATGCTCCAATGAAAGAACTGACACCGTGCCTCCACAAGGAGTAGCAAAATTGAGAACTTCAAAGACCTTCTATTAGTGTTTATTTCACCTGTAACTTTAGAGAACATGATTCACTGTAAAGGAGGTTGGTAGGGAAGGCTGGCAGAACCCCAATCTTAAATATATAAGTTTTAGGGTACTTTGGAAGGTTGATATTCAGCTCCACCTACTGCAGCAGTTAAGTAATGGCTCTCATACCAGTGAAGTCGTTCATCTCCTATGTCACCAGACCACATTTAGGATCATTAAAGAAATGGTTCCACAGTGATATTCTGAGATACTAAATGACAGCTGAGCCTGTTAAATGTCCTTTATCATCAAACTCTAGGCAATCAGCTAAACAAACATTTTATATACACTGCCTGGTCCAAAAAAAGTCACACACTCTTTTATTTTTCATTGGACTCCCTTTAGCTTTGATTACGGCATGCATTTACCATGGCATTGTTTTGATAAGCTTACGCAATGTCACAACATTTATTTCCATCCAGACTTGCAGTAATGTTTCCCCAAGATCTTGTAGTGATGATGGGAGAGTCGGAGCACTGTGTAAAGTCTTCTACAGAACATCCCAAAGATTCTCAATGGGGTTAAGGTCAGGACTCTGTGGTGGCCAATCCATGTGTGAAAATGACGTCTCACGCTCCCTGAACCACTCTTTAACAATAGGATCCCGATGAATCCTGGCATTGCCATCTTAGAATATGCCCAATGTGCCATCAGGGAAGAGAAAATCCATTGATGGAAAAACCTGATCATTCAGTATATTCAGGTAGGCAGCTGACCTCATTTTTTGGCACATAATGTTGCTGAAACTATACCTGGCCAACTGATGCAACCCCAGATCATAACACTGTCCAAAATCCAGTTGGTGTTTTTTTTTGTTTTTTTTGTGGCCAGGCAGTCTACATAAAGTGTATATAAACCTGCCGAATGAGTCCATATTCTGTGCATCCAGTTTTGAAATATTGGCAACCATGAGATAGCTCATTCAGAACTTCATTGCAGTAGCAGCACAGTCTGGTCAAGAATGCTGGATCAAACACACATTCACAGCTCATGGGCTAGAAACTGAAGCAGTAGTGCAATGATGAGGTCATGCCTCTTATCCTATCAGCATGCTCACTCTCAGCACAGCCTTATTAGCTCCTACCGTTGCCCCTCCCTCTCCCAATCTGCTGTACAAGAGTATAGAGAAGGCTTATATTAAAATAAATTAATTTGCATACAGTAGTTACATTTAAAAACACATCACTTTGTAATTAATAAGTAGCGACATTCACTGGTGTTTTATTTCTTTTTACTAGCTCTGCTTTAAAACATAAAACTTCCAATATAAACCGAAAGCTTCATGAATGGGAAAAAAGATCAGTATTGACCCTCCTACCCTCCTCCTTCACAGCATCAGGCTGACTTCACACAGGAGACCCTGCTGCTAGTGAAACATTGCCTGCGGCACAATGACACTGGGGATCTTTACACTTAGCTCTGTAAGATCGCTCTCTTGCTGGCTGAATCTCCCTCCCTTGTGATGGAGCAGCAAGTCAGCAACATCACGCTGGGCCTGCTAGAGAGGAAGCCATTCCATACAGACCGGCAAGAAGTGATGCTGGCGCAGGGCATTGCCTGTGTGACCTCAGCCTTGGGTTTGCTGGTGTGCTTTAGAATAGATATGTCCAGCATTGGTTGACACTGCGATTGATTCAATTGGAACTTTAACATCAACGTCAGAAATAAGTCACATTAAAAAAAAAAGAACGTATGGAAAAACTTTGTAGTACCTTCCTCCCCTTTGTGTGACAAGAATCAGAAGAAGAGCGTGTCCACATATAAACTTGTGAACAACTGTTATCAGTTTCAGGATTCTAAAAGGACTTGTCGGAACATTGACAGCTTGAATCGTAATGGTTGCTATCACAAGACAAAAACAATTTGTTCTTCTCCTCCCGTTTTTGTAAACCTTCACAGCGCAAAAAGCAATGCCGTGCTATAACATGTAGAGTCTGACCAAAAATCGGCCTTTCGGCAGTTTTATTCAGGATGAACGGATAATCAGTTTTGATTGGTTGCTGAGGGTTTCTGCATCACTGATAATGGCACCAAGGCCTCTAATTTCGAACGATCTTAAAAAGTAAGCGCTGTTTTTGAGCTGGACCGTGTTGTGTTAGATCAAACCGCAGCTGTCATTCTTCTGAGCAGGCTAGAAAATAAAAACTAAGCATTGGATTGGTTGCTACAGGCAACAGGTACACTTTCCTTTTAAATACCTATGGCCTCATTCAGTAGGACTGTGCAAAGTAAAATGATTTGTGTCCGATCAAAAATAACGTCCTGTCAATAAACTAACATCTTATTGGTTGTATGTTGCATGCAGGACCATCCTTATAATGAGGTAGCCTGTGGCGTTTACCCCTAGGCAGTAGCCGCAGGTGGCATCTCTCAGGTGTGTGTATGGGGGGGGGCAGCAGATGGGCGGCCACAGTGTGCCAGGTTGCTAAGAGCTCTTACGAACCTGTTTCCTGCTCAGCTCACTGATGTCATCGGTTACCAGGGAGCTGAGCGGGACAGCCGGCCGAGCTACAGTAGCCGCAGGGGGCATCTCTCAGGTGTGTGTATGGGGGGGGGGCAGCAGATGGGCGGCCACAGTGTGCCAGGTTGCTAAGAGCTCTTACGAACCTGTTTCCTGCTCAGCTCACTGATGTCATCGGTTACCAGGGAGCTGAGCGGGACAGCCGGCCGAGCTACTGGCAACCTAGGCGGGAGCAGACAAAGAGCCGCTGACAGCTCTAACACAGCCACCTGTCCCACCGCATCCACCACCCCACCGCCCAGATGACCGCCATCAGCAAAGCCCCCCCGAGCAGCAGCACCCGCCCCCGCCTGCTCTATGCTCTCAGGCAGCATATAGTGTAGGGACCGGCTCATTATTACTGCCATTTACAAAATTCACACTCCCACTGCTGACTGCTGGGATCCAAGGGCCATATGTGGCCCTCAGGCTGCATGCTGGGTACCAGGGATCTCGAACCATTGCCAATAACACCCTGTCTTAAGTTCGTTCTGGCCAACATTCAAAATTTGTGTGTAACTTTAGTAAATATTTACTCCACCTCCACCATCAGTTTATTAACAGTGCAAAGAGAAGTGGTCTGCAGTAACCCACGGCAACCGATCAGAAATGTGAAAGGTCTTAACACGCACGGGTCGTCTGAGTTTAAGCATGTTCCCAAAGCAAATGAACAATAAAAAATGATAGCAAAAAATCAGTCATAACATTATGACCACCCAGCTAATATTGTATTGAGTAGGTCCCCCTTCTGCCACCAAATCAGCCCTCACCCATTGAGGAATGGACTCCACCAGACCACTGCAGGTGTGCACAGTGCTGGGGTATCTGGCACCAAGCCATGTGAGCTACAGTAGCTGGAATACACTGGCCAGCCTTCGCTCCCCATGCCCATCAGTGAGCCTTGGCCACCCATGACCGTGTCACCAGTCCATCGGTATTCCTTCCCTGGACCACTTTTGGTCGGTCCTGACCACTATAGACCGGGAACATCCCACAAGAGCTGCAGTTTTGCAGTTGCACTGACCCAGACCACTCTACTTCCAGGTGTCATTGTAATATATCCCCCCCACTTCCAGGTGTCATTGTAATATATTCCCCCCACTTCCAGGTGTCATTGTAATATATTCCCCCCACTTCCAGGTGTCATTGTAATATATTCCCCCCACTTCCAGGTGTCATTGTAATATATTCCCCCCACTTCCAGGTGTCATTGTAATATATTCCCCCCACTTCCAGGTGTCATTGTAATATATTCCCCCCACTTCCAGGTGTCATTGTAATATATTCCCCCCACTTCCAGGTGTCATTGTAATATATTCCCCCCACTTCCAGGTGTCATTGTAATATATTCCCCCCACTTCCAGGTGTCATTGTAATATATTCCCCCCACTTCCAGGTGTCATTGTAATATATTCCCCCCACTTCCAGGTGTCATTGTAATATATTCCCCCCACTTCCAGGTGTCATTGTAATATATTCCCCCCACTTCCAGGTGTCATTGTAATATATTCCCCCCACTTCCAGGTGTCATTGTAATATATTCCCCCCACTTCCAGGTGTCATTGTAATATATTCCCCCCACTTCCAGGTGTCATTGTAATATATTCCCCCCACTTCCAGGTGTCATTGTAATATATTCCCCCCACTTCCAGGTGTCATTGTAATATATTCCCCCCACTTCCAGGTGTCATTGTAATATATTCCCCCCACTTCCAGGTGTCATTGTAATATATTCCCCCCACTTCCAGGTGTCATTGTAATATATTCCCCCCACTTCCAGGTGTCATTGTAATATATTCCCCCCACTTCCAGGTGTCATTGTAATATATTCCCCCCACTTCCAGGTGTCATTGTAATATATTCCCCCCACTTCCAGGTGTCATTGTAATATATTCCCCCCACTTCCAGGTGTCATTGTAATATATTCCCCCCACTTCCAGGTGTCATTGTAATATATTCCCCCCACTTCCAGGTGTCATTGTA